TTCCATAATTAAAATCCACGGTTTTTAAGAATTTTGGGATGTTTCAAGGCCCTGTGTCAAAGAGTTTTGAGATTTTAAGGGATACATCTCTGGGTCACATAATGCCGATTGGAACCATATCATTAAATATTGTCATCAATTTTCGTAGTAGGCTTGTGTATATTAATTAAATCGGTGCAAGTTGTAAACCGGTAAATTTGCCTTTTAAAGGCAAATAGTATGGTTCCAACCATCCAATTGGACTTCCGGAGGGTATTAGGGACCATGGTAAACATTTCGGCAATTTTTATTTCCGAGCGAAAAAAAGTAAAAAAATTCCAAAATTTAAGGTTAATATCCACGTTTTTTTCTGAAATTTTGGAGGTTTCGGAGCTTGGTTTCGATAAACATTTAGATTTTAGGGGATAAATTTTGGGTTTATATAATGCCGTTTGGAACCGTATATGATCATTATATGTTGTATAAATGTTTTTGGTAGGCTTGAGTTAATGAAATCGGCGCAAGTTGTAAACTAGTAAATTGGCCGTTTAAAGGCAAATTGGATGGTTCTACCCACCCAATTGGACTCTCGGAGGGTATTAGGAACCATGGTAAACATATCAACAATTTTTATTCTCGGACGAAAAAAAGTCAAAAAATTCCAAAATTGAAGGCTAATATCCACACTTTTTGAGAAATTTTTGGAGTTTTCGGGGCCCGGTGTCGAAAAGTCTTGAAATTCTAGGAAATACATCTCAGGGTCATATAATGTCATTTGGACCCATATATGATCATTAATTGTTGTCGTAAATGTTCGTGGTAGGCTTGAATTAATGAAATCGGTGCAAGTTGTAAACAGGTAAATTGGTCGTTTAAAGGCAAAATGGATGGTTCCATCCAACCAATTGTACTCCGGGAGGGTATTAGGGACCATGGTAAACATTTTGGCAATTTTTATATCCGGGCGAAAAAAAGTCAAAAATTTCCAAAGTTAAAGGCTAATATCCACGCTTTTTGAGTAATTTGAATGTTTTGGGGCCATGTATCGAAAAGAATTGAGATTTTAGTGGATACATCTCATGGTCATATAATGTCGTTTGGAACCATATATGATCATTATATGTCGTCATAAATATTCGTGGTGGTCTTGAGTTAATAAAATCGGTACAAGTTGTAAACTGGTAAATTGGTCGTTTAAAGGCAAATTAGATGTTTCCACCCAGTCAATTGGACTCTCAAAGAGTATTAGAGACCATGGTAAACATTTCGGAAATTTATATATCCGGATGAAAAAAAGTGAAAAAAAATTCCAAAATTGAAGGTTAATATCCACGCTTTTTGAGAAAATTTTGGAGGTATTTGGTAGAGTTGTCAATTTGGATAAACGGTCATGTTTGGGTCGCTAAGAGTGTGTCGGGTCAACTCGGTTCGGGTCAATTCGGATTAATTCCATAATCTATGCGGGTCGGGTTTGGGTTAGGTCATGCTTGAGTCGGGTCACATCGGGTCATATATACTTTTTATCGGGTTTGGGTCGGGATAATAACAGGTCGGGTTACATTCGGGTCGGGTGAACAATAGGTCGGGTTTAATTCGGGTTTTCACAGGTTAGGGTAATTCTCGGGTTCAAGTCGGGTTCGGTTCAAGTCAATAATTTGCGGGTTAGAATCAGGTCGGGTCATTCTCGGGTTTGAGTCGGGTCCGGTTCAAATTAATAATTTGCGGGTTATAATTAGGTTAGGTCATTTTCAAGTCGGGTCATTTTTCGGGTTCAAGTCGGGTTAGGTTCAAATCAATAATTTGCGGGTTATAATCAGGTTGAGTCTTTTTCATGTCAGATCATTCTCGGGTTCAAGTCGGGTTCGGTTTATGTCAATAATTTGCGTGTTATAATCAGGTTGGGTTATTTCTAAGTCGGGTCATTCTCGGATTCAAATCGGGTTATGTTCAAGTCAATAATTTGCAGGTTACAATCAGGTCGTGTTATTTCCCAATCAGGTCATATTTGGGTTCAACTAACTATAAATAGATTCTCATTTTTATCAAGCTAATTATTTCCTTTGACTATAATATATATGACAATATACTAGGGAACTATAGTCTATTATTTAGGATGATAATTATCTCCTTTGTCCATCCAACAAATATATACTATATTTAACTCTTAAATTTGAGGAAGATGGTCCTTTCTTTTGCTGGCCTGGACCGACTTGGTCTTCTTAGAGAAAATGTTTTGATCAACAATAATAAGGTGGTCTAAATTGCATTTAAGGTGATTTCAAATTGGGTCAGGAACAATTTGGGTTGAATTTAGGTCGGGTCAATAACAAGTCGTGTTGATTTCGAGTCGGGTTAGTAACAGATCGGGTTGAATTTTTTGGTCGGGTTAGTAATAGGTCTGGTAAAATTCGGGTCGGGTCAATAACAAGTCGGGTTGAATTTGGGTTAGGTTAATAACAAGTCGGGTTGATTTCAGGTCGGGTTTGTAACATGTTGGGTTAGGAACGGATCGAGTTGAATTTAGGTCAGGTCAGTAACAAGTCGGGGTAAATTCGAGTTTTGACGGGTTAAAACGGGTTGGGTCTATTTCGGTTCATGTTGGGTTCAGTTCAGGTCAATAATTTACGGGTTACATTCGGGTCGGGTCATCTCCAGGTCAGTTCATGTTCGGGTTTGGGTCTCACATACTCGGGTCTAGGGTTGGTTTCATGTCGGGTCAAGTCGGGTTTAGGTTACCATTTTTTTGAGTTCAGATCGTTCGGTTAATAATTGGGTTTGAGTTGGTAATTCGGGTCGGGTCAAATTTTGACAGCTCTAAGTACTACGTTGAAGTACGAGGTAGGATGACTAACATATAATCGTAAATTAGATGATATCATTAAGCGTTAGATTTGGATCGTAAAATATATGATTTAAACGGAGTATTGTTAGTGTGAAAACACCTATGCCTCGTATTATTCCCGCCGTAACAATGTAACAGAATGTTAATTTGTCTTACACGCAATGGAAGATGTAATAATTGACTTTATTACGTTAGTAATCCAAGTCCAGTTGAATTTTTCACTTGAAAAGGTCAAGGTTTGATTTTTCTAAGTTGTCGAAAGGAGAATCACCAAGTGTAAACTGAGCGACATTTATAAATTGTTTAGAACTACAGTCTATAAAAAATTAATTATGAAGGCAGATGATATTAATTTTTACACAAATTAAAGTCAACTCAATGACATCTATGAAAAGGAGGGATCAGTTGAATTGAATAGATATTAGAGATTATAATTTATAAAGCCTCCTTAAATATCTGGTGGTGGTTTCACACTTGTCCTAGTTGCCTAGTTGCTTATGATGACATCAAATCTTGGTACTTTAAAAATTGCTCCAATTTTTTCTTTACTTAATTTCGCATTAAATTATACTACCTCCGGATCATATTATTACAACTTTGAAATTTTTTATATCTAACAAATAATACCCCAAAGTTGTATATAATATTATTCGGAGGTAGTAGATTTGTTTTTAAAGAAGAGTTGTGAATAGACTAAGCTAGAGACCATGCTAATTATAACAGAAATAGAATATGAACATATTTTTTAAAAACGGTCTAAAAACAAAAGTTGGGTATTCTCTAAAAAAGAAACAACTTTGTTTACATTGTTAATTGTTAATTTAGTATTTAATTTTGGGGTAAGTTAGCATAAGAAAACCAATCATTGAGAAGGTAAGTGATGAGTTTTAGTAGAGGGATTTAGTTAGCCCATATTTTAATGAGAAACTCCTAGCTCACATAAAATGTATATATGCATATACTCCGTATTTGGATCCCTCATGTCCCATTATCAGCAAGATCCAAATTGAGGCCAATAAGATAGCCAATCAATATCAAGGGAAGTGATCCAATTTGGTAGAGTTAGTTAGCCCTTCTCTTAGATATTATGAAACTCCCATTTCACATCTATAATTTATAAAGGTATTAAGAATAAAAATAAAAAATCCGTAGTTTAAAATACAAAATAAAAGAGTGGTGTTTTATGCAAGTAGGCAAGATCTCTAGACTTTTGTATTTGGCCTTAATAACACAAACTTGTCTAGTAGTTTGTGTAGTTTATATGTCCAAATTCATATATTGAATATTGACACGTCTATATAAAATTATAAACACACAAATTTCATAACTATCATATTCGTGTAACCGTGTTTGTACATGTCTTTAATGTAAACTACTCCGTAGTTTCGAGCCATGTATTCTTCATTCACTTTTGCTAATAGAAACCGGAAATTTTAGTCTCTTACTGAAGAAATAGGCACGTATGCAAAAGAAGGGGACCATAAAAATGGAGTCAATGTCATAATTTCTCCCTTTAATTACTGGCATTCATTCATAATCTTTGAGTGCTCCAACTCTTATTTTGCTATCATCCTTCTTCAAGTTGGAGATCTGTTGTAGTAATGAATGGACCAGTCAATTAAGTTTAAGAGTTTGTTTCTTTGTTAATATTGACAAGTGATTACTACTACTGTACTAGGTCATCTTTCAAATTAGGACCACAATATTGTCACTCACACCAAGAAAATCTAGCATATCCTCCGTATGAAAATAAATAATGATGGAGTTAGTTTAAGAGAACACATTTTATGTTACAAATTGAATGAAATAATATAGTCCCAAAAGTTTAACTCACCTGAAGGAGCATGACTGCATGAGAGTATATTATATAAGTTGAGAACAATATTGATGAATTAAGAATCATGCAATCTATGTTAACTTAGGTTGGGTCATTCCAGTCTATTGGAAAACTATATTCATGAAAATAAAAAATAAAAATCCGGTCCACTTTCAAATTGGGTCGAAGTATATTTGGGTCCAATCAATTATCTAGTTTCGGGTCAAGTATGATGGGTATTTTATTTTTAGCCAAGAATGAAACATAGTGTATATAAATGCAAGAGATTGAGGCTGGGTATTACTACTAATCTGCTATCATGTATTTCTGTACTAAACTTTTGATGTCAAACTGAATCACACATGCATGAAGTTAGCAGTATTTAGGTGGAAAAAAGAACAATTCTCATACACAACATTCACTCTTTAATGACAGGCAAAATGAACAAAAGACAAGGAAACTGCTGCATATAGGAATAACAAATGTACCTAACTCTACAACATACATGCCCATCTTCCTAAAGCCACAAACTTATCCATGGACCCTGCTATGAAATTTCATCAACGTAACATTGCGAACACACAAATATGGTTAACAACCAATAAAAAGATGAAGTATGCTAACTCACTGAGTATCCTGCCCACACATGCATGAAAATAACACAGGAACTCCATGCCCATGATGGTTCCCATGATCGATTCCTCCACTGTTACCGCCCTCACCTTCTGAACCAGACTGGGGGCTTGATTGAGGAGGAGCAACTCGACCATCCATAAATAACGAATTTGGTTGGGGAATGGGCTGGGCCATAGAAATTTCATCTGGCACTTCTATATTATGGCTCTGGTTTCTCATGTGCTCATTATTAGCCGCCCTCCTCTCCACTGCAAGAAACTGGCCAAGGGATGGGGTGTTAGTGGTAGAACTCTTGACGTCTATACTGTCCCTTGAGCAAAGAGAGAAGATCCAAGGTTTAGCCTTGCAAGGTTTCTTGACTTTGAGTGGTTCTGGTCTTCTTCCCCTTATTGATCTTCTAGAAAGTTCTAGAATGCTAGAAACTCCAATAAGGCTTCCTAATGTGATGCTTCTGTCATGGAAGAAGGACCCTGTGGACTGCAAGGAAATTTAAAGCATGAAATGATTCAGAAATGCTTGCTGAGATAAGCCATTAATATAACATAGCAGCTACCATGTGATACATGGGTATATATTTACTGCAATGCTGAACAACATCGAATACACTTAGAACTCAGGGCTGAATATTTCCTCAAGCCTAGACAACCTCAGCATGAAGGCAAGTTAAAGTAGAATCCAAAATGGTGTATCATGATTCATGTGCAGAGAAAGTTACTCATCTCAGGCATGCGCCATAAAAGCTAAATCTTTGGCCAACAAATTAATTAACAAAGCAGAAAATGAAAGAGATACACAGTACAATTTCTTAAATATCAGATTATCAGGATCATAAGATTTAAATACATAAAATTAAAATTTATCATTACTCATCATGTGCTTAACTAAAGAAAAATTAACAACTACTAGAGGAGAAAGAATTCACTCATCTCTGAGAGTGAGTCAGACTCATAGATCCACTCTCACTGCCTTTTCTCCTTAAAAGTATCTCCCTATATTTTCAGGGCATCTTATATTAATATTGTATCTACCACAAACTACCGAAAAATGCCCTTGAATATCCACCCTCGGAAATGTGTGCATTAGCCTTCCTGGCTGATATAACACTCTACCGGGTTAACAGCAGTGAAATAGTAAAAACAGTAGGAGGTGGTAAATATGAATTAGAAGCTTTAAGACTCTCTAAACATCACAATATAATTCATCACATTTGCAAGACGATATCTTATCTGATGTTAATCAAGGGAAAAAGTTTATGACATTTACATTCGTTTAAGCACTCTTGGAACTTGATGAACCACATTCACCAGTGATCCATCACTAATAAGGATTATATGAAGGAAGTCATGCCGTCATGGTGTGGCAAAGTATAGCCTACAGGATTGAGATTAAGAGCTTTTACACACAAAATTAATCATTCATCACTCTCTAAGCTTACAATTGGATTTAGTGTAATCAAGGAATTTCCAATTCTCGTTTTCAACAAAAATCCAACAAACAAAATATAAACCTGAACATTGTTTGTCTTTTAGGTGAAACTAAATGTTTTCTGTACTGACACATTCTGAACAAACTAGTAGCAAGAGGGCAAAACTCTCTTCCACATAAAAACTCAACATTATCATACTCCCTCAATCAGTCAATCCTAACTTAATTGCCCCATATTCCCTTTTGGGTTGTTACAATTATTTGTCTCATTTCCAGAATGTTTAGCTTTTTTTTCTCTACTTTTTCTTCATTGGGGTCTCACATTTGTTCACCCATTTCTCCTCTACTTTTTCAAAAAGCGTGCTAATAGCCTGATTATCATATGATCAAGTAATTTGAGACAAAGAGAGCATCACATTGCATAATTACTTAATTAGAGTAGTAAATAATGAGAGCAACAACTGTGAATTTATACCAGCAATCACCTAAATTTGTACTTTCAGCCTACTGATTATGAATATTAGCAATTATATCAAACATGGAGTATAACAATCCAAAAGAAGACAAGCTGCAAGAAACAAAAAACTGAGATGCATGAAAAATCACATCAATCAAACATCAAAACTTAATAATTCCTCAAATTTCAATCGTAGCACGTGAAAAAGAAAGCAGAATATACAGTTTTTATCAGTGATTTAATGTCATTTCAACACATTCTGCAACATTAGTTTATTTTTACCTCAGTGTCTAAATCAGATGAAGAATCTGTAGAAGTTGGTGAACCAGTAAGCATTGTAGTATTGAATGACATTGACCCTAAATAATCTCGAGCTCTTCCTAATCCAATTCTCACATTCAATGGCTGCAAACCCAGAGGCCAACCCTCTTCCTGCACTCAACAAAAACAAAACTTTCACTAATTTAGTGTCGGCAGAAATCAAATTTCACCCAGAAAAAAAAACCCAGAAAGTAGAGAGAAAATTCAACAATTTCACAATTAATTTGTAAAAAGGTGAAGAAAATAAAGATACCCATTTCATTAAAATGAAAAACCCATTTAGAAAAATGAGATATTTTTTTAAAAATTAGGGAAAAAAAGAAGACGATTTAACAAATACCTGGTGTGCAGCCATAGCTGCAAAACAAGAGAGTGATTGAAATGAAGTATTATAGTAGAAAATGCATGGGAATGGTCACCTCAATCAACAAGAAGAGGAGAAGATCTCTGTCATTTTTCCTTTTTTGGCTTTTCTTGTTCAACAAATTAAAGGAAGGTGGTGAAGTGTTACAGATTTTAGCAACTTTCAGGAGCAGGGAACAGAGAGTAGTGTGAGAAATGGGAGTGATAAAATTAAAAATTAAAAGTTAAAAAAAAATGATAAAAAAAAAATTAAAAGAAAGAAAGAAAGAAGGGAAGAGAGTCAAAAAAAAGAGGAACCAATTAGCATATGGACATATCATTTGTTGACTGAAAAGAGGAAACAGAATAATTTGGTAACACAGACAATTTATAATTATAATAAAGGGGGAAAAAGGTAAAAAGTTAAAGGGTTATTCAGCTAATTTTGCATATGCTGTTAAAAATTAAAATGACAATGCTGTTTAGTTCTTTTTTTTTTAGCATTTTGTGCTTTATTTTAATGTACTAGTGAAACTTTTTCCAAGGCTTGATGCCTATGGAAGTGTAGTAAAATTGTTCTTTCTTTTTTGCCAAAATGTAACACTCAATTGGGAATTTTATATTGTACATATTAACAACTTCATTAGGTCTAAATTTACCAACTAATCATGGAAATCAGAAAAGGATGTGATAAATCATGGGGCAATTAAGACGGATCAACACAAGTCCAAAAGAAGATTGAGAGTTTGATGATGGTCAAATAAGAAATAATAGATCACACTAAAATTTAAAGATATGAGATTTTATCCACAATATGCTCCTAATTTTAAAAGGCATAATATTAAGATTAAATTAAAATAAGGAAGATGATTAAGTCAAAAACTCGTAAAAATATGAAGGGTGTCAAGTATGAGGATCTTGATAGCATAATTAAATATCTACAACTCCTAATTTCGTAGTAAAATATTATTATTACTAGTAATTCTTAAAGAATCGTGACACATTCTTTTTTTTTTTTTTTTACTTGGCATTCTATACTCTTTAGCTATCAATATTCTCTATACTTTGTCAATCCATGTAAAGATTATTATTGTTATACAAAGGAATTTTGAACTTTGATATCAAAATGTAAATATAAAGGAATTTATTGTTTTTTGATGAATATGGTTCTAAAAGGTTTGATACAATAATACTATAGCAAGGAGCCAAGGAGGCAAGGATAATGATCACAATACCTTGTTCTATCTAATCCAATTTATAAGGGAATGTGCATGCATGGAGCACATCAACTCATCTCAATAATTTAGTCCATAATTGTTTCTCATTCCACTTATCTTGAAGGGGAATGCAAGATGATCTCATTATTATAAGATTTTTTATTTATTATTATTATTATTATTATTATTTTTTTGTAATAATGCTTATTACAATTTTATTTCATACCCAATTTAAAAGTCAATAAACTATTGTGGATTTCTCAAAAAAAAAAAAAATAATAATAATAAAAAAAGCCTCAATTTGAAAGATTAAGAAAATGAGGATGGTAGGACGGTATGTTCACCATTATTAATAATCATTAATAAGTAAAAATGTTAAATCGTGTTTGATTCAAATTCCGAGTGGTAGAGATGTAAGCACAGGAAAATATGCTAAAAACCGCCTAAATCTTGATTTAAAAATGTCATCTGTTCACTTATGTTTATTTCTGTACAATTAACTGGATTGAAGTACACTTGTTTATATGACAATGTAACTATGTAGAAGATTCTACTGTCAAAACTCAAAATCTAAAATAGGGAGTCAAAATTGGTTGGTTATACTTTACACAACTAGTTAAATTGAATAAGTGGGACATGCAATATTCGTGAAAACGAAGACATTTACGATGGATCCAATGATAAATTGCATGCAACAATAAAGATTAAATGAAGGTCCAAAATTTAATTACTCCATGCTTGTTTACAACTCCTTCAGTTCTCTTCTTAGTCACATGAATCAACCAGACGCATTAAACCCAGGTGAGAAGAAATTAGAAGACTTGTTTCTTAAACAAATTGTAATCATTGAAATTTTGTTCATGAACCACAAGTGTTAGGGATCAGACCTTTAGATCTCAAGGACGTCATAAGGTGAAACCCCTACCAACTATTGCTCAGCGAATTGTTTAGATACAAAACTAATTACGAAAGCAAATTATACAAGAACGAGGGACCCAAAGACCATAACCCTGTTGAAGTGGGTGACATATCATATCATGATTAGGTTAAGGAATAAGAAGGATTTCATAAAGCCATAGATTGAGTAGAAAGGACCTACCAAGAGAAAAGATGCCAAAAAGGTGAGGTTAATTGAGCCATTGAGGTCCACTTTTGCTGTTGCTGGATAGCATCATAGCAATGATACCTGAACAGTCTCTCTCTAGATTTATTTTTTTTAATTTTTATAATTTTTTTTCATGCTAAAAGTAATTTTATTTTGGCAAAAAATAGATACAAGTAATTAGCTAATAGTTGTACTGAACAACTTTTGGTTATGGTCAATGGTCCACCCAATGCATCTTTCACTAATTTAACCGATGATAACCACACCACCAAATGGTGGTCCTGTGTTAAGGCAGGTAACTAAATCTTTATAGCTTTACTTACTTTAGGTCATTAATTGAATTATACTTCTTCCATTATAATTACGATGTGTAAATCACTTTAATAAAGATATATCATTCGAGTAACATAAAACTTCAACCAATAAACTCTAATTGCATGTGGTAAGGATTTTGATCATGATTATTCTAAGAAAAAATTACAACTGAAATTAGGTTCTTTAATGACAATATTATGACTAGGGTTCTCAACACAAACACGTTATCAGACACTATGCCTAGAAGTCGCATCTTATTGATTTGTATTACCATGTGTATAATCCTTCAATCCTAGCCTGTGTGAGGAGGGTCTCTTAGTGTTTTTGCTAAATTTTAATTCTTACTAAAAAAAAAAGGGTAAGCATTGATTCCAGGGGCATACACTAGCCATACAGACAACAATTAAGATCATTAATTTTGTATTTTCTAATATGAATTACTAACAAATTTTCCAAATATAAAAGACCAAAAAAAAGAAGAGAAAAGGTTAAGATTAGACAGTTCTCAATGAGTTAGCTACCAAGTCTCACATTATGGTCCAGTCATACTGCTATTGATTGAAAGTTTTGCAACCACTGACCATCATCTGCATGGCATATGGCGTTGCCTTAAAATTCAACATGCAAAAGATTGATCCAACTTACAGGCTAGTTGTTTGGTTCATTAAAGTCAACTTTTTACAAAAGTTGTAAATCTATCGAAAATATAATAATTATGTTTCGGAAAAAATTGACTACACAAATACCGTAGTAATTGTAAATGTACATATTAACCGCATATAGTAACATTTTTTAAAAAAAAAAAAAAATTTATCATTTAGCATGGAACTTTAATTTACAGTTTGCACAGAAGTTCTTTAAAATTTGAAAAAAAAAAAAAAATCAACCAACCAAAGTTATAAAACTTCATTTAACTATATACTAGCATACTGCTTGAGTAGTGCTTGACAATGCCTAGTAATTTAATTGGCAATATATGAGAAACATGGCCAAGAATCTAACGGCGATTCGGCCAGTCATGAAATATACAGTTACAATCACACTAATAAGTAATAACACATAGTTACAGCACCCAAAAGATTCAGCAATGGAATGACATAAGAATTCCCAATCAATGCAGACAACAGCAATGTATAAGACCACCTACAATAAATCAGCTTTGAAACCAATTAGCTTTCTATCAAACATTAATGAATTAAAAAACATATCAGTCAATACCACACACAATTCAGTACACAAATTTAATTTGCATAAGACCTATTATTGGGGAATTAAAAGGACTTAAGGAGCCTTTCGAGCTCGATTACCTTCAAAGTGACAAATCCAGTTATCCAATCATTCGACAAATAATACTGAGATCTAAAGCTTCTCCTTCAAGAGCTTCTATGTCAAGCTTCTCCTTTTATGAAAATTCTTTTTTCGGGTTTCCTGAACTTCAGCATTTCCTCAGTAGTATAGCAATCTGAGATTCATGAGAGGACCCTGAAAACTTCTGCGGTTCAGACTTTACATATAAAGAGGTAATTTACATATAAGAGAAAGGTTCAGACTTTACATGGATCCGGTTCTTAGAGACAATAAAGTTTGACTGGATAATTCTTCTCTGCTTCACCAGTTAATCGCCCAGTAGGCACCTAAGACAATCCCCTGGAAGATTAAGACCCCAAAGGAAGCAACGTTAACAAGCTACAACACCATGACACAAATCACACAATAGACCAAACTGAACACGGCTATTTCGTATAGCTTACTTACCACTGGCACAATTTCAATGATTAAAATAAGATAACAGCATTAGATTCTCAGCAGCACCATCATATTGTAGAAGCAGAAAGTGCCTATGCCTGAAAGAGAAGAGGATTTTCACTCTCTTGCCACACCGCATTCAAGTCCCAGCCCCATGGATATTCACTTGGACCTAATAATAATGGACTGTAAGTTGTGGATGGAATAGCTTTACCCACACTATGAATAACAGTAGGATGTTTTAGCTGTTTAGATCAACATACAGAAAACTGAAATTTTCAATTTTTTGAAACTAGGAATGCAGCCAAAAACTTCTGGTATATCAACGTGTCACGACAGCCAAAAACTAGAAATGACATTCTTTTACATGAACCAATGGTGCCAATGGTGGCTTTTCCAAAACTCACCTGTCGACAAATATTCCAGAACTTTTCTTTGCTGCTCTAGTGCTCTGTAAGCTTCACTCCTCCGCTTGCACTCCCCAATTTCCACATTTTCAATCATACCAACAATGATTAATTAATTCTCTTCTTTTGCTCCCTTTTTCTTCTTTATCATCTCAATCATCATCTTTCCTTCTATGCTTATTCCTGATTCCCAGTCATTATCCTTCTTCCTACCTTTCTCCACCCCCAAAACCCTCTCTTATTCTTCGTTTCTTTCACACCTTGAGCCAAACCGGTCAGCATCCATTAAAAAAAAACCAATATTCAACCTAAATTAAGAATAAAATAAGAGCTCGCCATAAGCCCAAATGCTTCTTCCTCTTCCGGAAAAAAATGTAAACAGAACAACAAAGACATGCAATAGTTTCTAGATCTTGCCTGAATAAACATCAATCCAGCATTGATGTAATACTCAATCAATCAAGCAGCGCATGCACCGATTTAGATAGGCATATACATGCTCTTGATGCATGTTGAAATTTAGAAACAAAGACAGCTCCTAAGCATGTTCAAATAGTGTTCAACGGCTTCAACGAAAATACAAAAAATTACCCCTCGTCATTTCACTGTAGTCTGTAGCTAAAAGATACTGAGGAATAAGGAACAGAGCTTTTACTTCCGATTCAAAAAATTAGTAAAAATGTGAGTTAAAATTAAATCTGAAATTACTAGACACCGTTTCAATTATGGTCCAAATCTATTATGACTACAAGTTTAACATTCATCCCCTAATAATATACGGAAGAGTTGAAGACTAATTCAGGTTCAGTTAACCAGAAGACCTCTCATCAACCATATCGATAATAGCACCATTTGATCCCGAGATTCCCCCCCAGACACACGCGCACACACAAAGGTCAGAAAAATCATACAAACTAACCAAAATATGGTACAGTCTACACGAATACATATTTTGGTGTTTCAAAATTAACACTTGACAAATTGGTCAGCATTATAGTCACAAGAACATCCATTCGTACACTACAATAGTAAATGTCACAGCCCTGTCATTAATTAATCCCAATTTTAAGAAACCACTAATGGGACGTTTGGTGACTGACTAACTGGTTATAAATGATGTTAATGAGGATGACTTTGTATGTAAATTTGTAAGTAAATTCAAGGATCATTCCCATGGCAATGCTAGTTTGCCCCAAATTGTCCATACTTCTTTATAAATTTTCATTCCCACCCAATACCTCCGCTCAAAGTCTCGAGTGGTAATGGATGGTAATTGAAGAAAATACAAGCTAGAGAATGAAATTACATCACCATGAGGATTACATTGTTAAATTCTTCCCTAATTTACTCTTAAAATACAATTCATTTCTATTACTACCATTTATAACCAACTACCAAATGAGCTTTAAAATATACTTCGTAGTTCATACTACACAGAAAGCTTCTTCTCAAGTTAACAGGAAAGCCCAGGACTGATATATGTAATTTGTGTTATTAACGTTAACAATTTTATTTTCGGAGTAAATACAACAACTACTTGTTGATGGTTCACGATATCAAGAATGTCCGCCCTTTGTCTTTATAACCGAAAATTAATCAGAATAATTGCAGACAATAGTATTCATCAATATTAATACTAATGTCTGCATTCTAATCCAATTCAATCACAAGATAAACATCAATTAATTAAATCCTACCAAGCAAAGGAGAGAAGAAAAATAGTTGAACAAACAACTAAAACCCTAAATTAGAAACGAGAGTACAAAAAGATGACAGAGAATTACCGGAACAATGACGCCTAAGGTAATGCCGGGGATGTCAAGTTGATCGGAATCAAACACCGACTATTTGACTGAAACTTTCTGTTTGAGTTCGTAGGATCTGAAATTGTATCAATATTTTTGAATTGATGTTTAAAAGCCCAATTCACTAAAAGTCGCCCAAAAAACACAAATTCAACATAAGGTCCAGTTCTTTTCCTTTTTCTATTTTTATTTTTATTTTTTTTTTTTTTTTTTTTTTTTTTGCTCCTAGAGTAGAAAGTAGAAACATACCACACTGAATCGTAAACCAAATTGTACTTTTTGAGGCATTGATTATGTTCGTGTTGGTTTGGGCCAAATTTTTTTTGGAACAAAGCCTTGTAAAACCACAATTATCCACGTCATATGGAACCAATTAACCCTTTTTTTTTCTTCTTTTATAGCTCATTACAAATATATTTAGGGCAACTCTAATGGTAAATTAATTGTCAAATTAGTTTTGCATACCACATAAGCTTTAAAGCTATTTGTCATTTTAGCTAGAGTTGTCAATTCGAGTAAACGGGTCGGGTTTGGGTCGGGTAATAGTGTGTCGGGTTAATTCAGATTAATTCCATAACCTATGCGGTTCGGGTTTGGGTTGGGTCATGCTTGAGTCGGGTCATACTTCTTATCGGGTTTGGGTTGGGCTTATGTCAGGTTACATTCAGGTTGGATGAACAATAGGTCGAGTATAATTGGGGTTTTCATGGGTTAAAACGGGTTAGCGTAATTCTCGGGTTTCAAGTCGGGTTCGGTTCAAGTCAATAATTTGCGGGTTAGAATCAGGTCGGGTCATTCTCGGGTATGAGTCGGATTTGGTTCAAGTCAATAATTTGCGGATTATAATCAAGTCGGGTCATTCTCGGGTTTAAGTCGGGTTCGGTTCAAGTCAATAATTTGCTGGTTATAATCAGGTTGGGTCATTTCCAAGTTGGGTCATTCTCGGATTCAAGTTGGGTTATGTTCAAGTCAACAATTTGCAGGTTACAATCAGGTCGGGTCATTTCCAAGTCAGCTCATATTCGGATTCAACTAACTATAAATAGATATTTATCATTTTATCAAGCTAATTATTTCCTTTGACTATAATATATATGACAATATACTAAGGAACTATGGTCTATAATTTAGGAAGATAATTATCTCTTTTGACCATATAACAAATATACACTATATTTAACTCTTAAATTTGAGGATGATGTTCCTTTCTTTTGCTGGCCTGGACCGACTTGATCTCCCTAACAAAATTCTTTGATCAACAATAATAAGGTGGTCTAAATTGCATTTAAGGTGATTTGAAATCGGGTCAGAAACAATTTGGATTGAATTTAAGTCGGGTCAATAACAAGTCGTGTTAATTTCGAGTCGGGTTAGTAAATGATCGGGTTGAATTTTTGGTTGGGTAAGTAATAGGTCTGGTAAAATTCGGGTTGGGTCAATAACAAGTCGGGTTGAATTTGGGTCAAGTTAATAACAAGTCGGGTTGATTTCGGGCCATGTTTGTAACAGGCTGGGTTAAATCCGGGTCGGGTTAGGAACGGGTAGGGTTGAATTCAGGTCAGGTTAGTAACAAGTCGGGTTAAATTCGGGTTTTAACGGGTTAGGGTAAATTTCATTTCAAGTCGGGTTCAGTGCAAGTTAATTAAATTGGTCGTTGTAAACCGGTAAAATGGTGCAAGTTGTAAACCGATAAATTGGTCATTTAAAACAAATTTGATGGTTCCACACACACAATTGGACTCCCGTAGGGTATTAAAGGAACATGGTAAACATTTCGCCAATTTTTATTTCCGGGCAAAAAAAATCAAAAAATTCCAAAATTGAAGGATAATATCCACGCTTTTTGAGATATTTTGGAGGTTTTGGGCCCCGGTGTTGAAAAGTCTTGAAATTCTATGGGATAAATCTCGGGGTCATATAATGTCGTTTGGAACTATATATGATTTATTATATGTTGTCATGAATGTTCGTAGTATGCTTGAGTTAATGAAATCCGTGCAAGTTGTAAAACGGTAAATTGGCCGTTTAAAGGAAAATTGGATGGTCCCACCAATTCAATTGGACTCCTGGAGGGTATTAGGGAACATGGTAAACAATTCAGCAAATTTTATTTCCGGGCGAAAAAAGTCAAAAAATTCCAAAATTGAAGGCTAATATTCACCTTTTTGAGAAATTTTGGGATCTTCGGGCCCGGTGTCTAAAAGTCTTGAAATTCAAGGGAATACATCTCGGAGTCATATAATGCCGTTTGGAACCATATGTAATCATTATTTGTTGTCATAAATGTTCATAGTAGGCTCGAGTTAATGAAATCGGTGCAAGTTATAAACCAGTAAATAGGTCGTTTAAAGGTAAATTAGATGGTTCCACCCACCAAATGGGAGTCCTTGACGGTATTAGGGATCATGGGACATTTCGGCAATTTTTATTTCCAGACGAAAAAGTCAAAAAATTCAAAATTGAAGTCTAATATATCCACATTTTTGAGAAATTTTGGAGGATTCGGGGCCTGGTGTCGAAAAGTCTTGAAATTCTAAGGGATACATCTCAGGGTCATGTAATGCCGTTTGGAACCATTTATGATCACTATATACTGTCATAAATGTTCATAGTATGCTTTATTTAATTTATTGAAATCCGTGCAAGTTGTAAACCGGTAAATTGGCCGTTTAAAGGCAAATTGGATGGTTCCACCAACCCAATTGGACTCCCGGAGGGTAGTAGGCCGGGATCATGGTAAACATTTCAGCAAATTTTATTAAAAAGTAAAAAAATTCCGAAATTTAAGACTAATATATATCAACTTTTTTGAGAAATTTTGGAGGTTTCGGAGCCCAGTGTCGAAAATTCTTTAAATTCTAAAGGATACCTCTCGGGATCATATAATGTCGTTTGAAACCGTGTATGGTCATTATTTGTTGTCATAAATGTTCGTGGTAGGCTTGAGTTTATGAAATCGGTGCAAGTTGTAAACCGGTAAACTGGTCGTTTAAATGCAAATTGGATGGTTCCACCAACCCAATGGGATCCCGGACGGTATTAGGGGTCATGGTAAATATTTCGGCAATTTTTATTTTTGGGTGAAAAAAAGTCAAAAATTTCAAAATTGAAGGCTAATATCCACGTTTTTTGTGAAATTTTAGAGATTTCAGGGCCCGGTGCCGAAAAGGTTTGAAATTCTAGGGGATACATCTCGGGGTCATATAATGTCTTTTGGAACCATTTATGATCATTATTTGTTGTCATAAATGTTCGTGGTAGACTTGATTTAATGAAATCGGTGTAAGTTGTAAACCGATAAATTGGCTATTAAAGGCAAATTGGATAGTTACACCCACTTAGTTGGACACCCGGAGGGTATTAGGGACCATGATAAACATTTTCAGAAATATTTATTTTCGGGCGAAAATAAGTAAAAAAATTCCAAAATTGAAGTCTAATATCTATGCTTTTTGAGAAATTTTGAAGGTTTCGGGGCCCGGTGCTGTAAAGACTTATGATTTTAGGTAATACATCTCGGTGTCATATAATGTCGTTTGGAACCATATATGATCATTATTTGTTGTCATAAATGTTCGTGGTAGGCTTGAGTTAATTAAATCGGTGCAAGTTGTAAACCGGGAAATTGGCCGTTTAAAAGCAAATTGGATGGTTCTATCCACCTAATTGGACTCCCGGAGGGTATTAGGGATCATGGTAAACATTTCAGCAGTTTTTATTTTCGGGCGAAATTAGTCAAAAAAATTCCAAAATTGAAGGCTAATATCCACGTTTTTTGAGAAATTTCGAATGTTTCGTGGCCTGGTGTCGAAAATTATTGAGATTTTAGGAAATATATCTCGGAGTCATATAATTTCGTTTGGAACAATATATTATCATTATATGTTGTCATAAATGTTCGTGGTAGGCGTGAGTTAATGAAATCGGTGCAAGTTGTAAACCGGCATATTGGTTGTTTAAAGGCAAATTGGATTGTTCCACCCTGCCAATTAGAATCCTGGAGGGTATTAAGGATCATGGTAAACATTTCGGCAATTTTTATTTTTGGGTGAAAAAAAGTCAAAAAAATTCCAAAATTAAAGGCTAATAATATCCACGCTCTTTGGGAAATTTTGGAGGTTTCGGGGTCCAATGTCGAAAAGTCTTGAAATTTTAGGGAATACATCTCGGGGTCATATAATGTCGTTTGGAACCATATATGATCATTATTTGTTGTCATAAATGTTCGTGGTAGGCTTGAATTAATGAAATCAGTGCAAGTTGTAAACCGGTAAATTGGTCGTTTAAAGGCAAATTGGATGGTTCCACCCACCAATTGGACTCCTAGAGGGTATTAGGGACCATGGTAAAAATTTCGGCAATTTTTATCTCCGGGCAAAAAAAAGTCAAAAAATTACAAAATGGAAGGTTATTATCCACGCTTTTTGAGAAATTTCGAACGTTTTAGGGCCCGATGTTTAAAAGCATTGAGATTTTAGGGGTATATCTCGGGGCCATATAATGTCGTTTGGACCATATATGATCATTATATGTTGTTATAAATGTTCGTGGTATGCTTGAGTTAATAAAATCGGTGCAAGTTGAAAACCGGTAAATTGGTCGTTTAAAGGCAAATTGGATGGTTCCAACCAGCCAATTGGACTCCTGGAGGATATTAGGGACCATGGTAAACTTTCGGCAATTTTTATTTTCGCGTGAAAAAAAGTCAAAAATTTTCTAAATTGAAGGTTAATATCCACGCTTTTTGAGAAATTTGGAGGTTTCGGATTTTTAGCTACTGTGAGCTCCAATGATTAGCTATTAGCACTACATGAATAAACCCCACCTCCTAAATTATCTTATTTTTATTTATTTTTCCAAGCAAAGCTAATTGTATTTTCTATTATTTTCTAGCTTTAATGGCCAAGCTAGCAACTAGGAATTATTTAATATTGAATGCAAGTCTCTACCTCCAACTATTAGATTAATACCCAACTACTTGCAAAAATTATGTAGTATTAAAAAAAAAACTTTTCTGAGAGTGAGGGATGACTTAAGTGGTTAGAGCATCCCTCCCGATTCCAGAATATCTTGGGATCGGATTGTTTGGAAGTGGTAAGGGCTTCTCAAAGCTATAAATATCTTGAGTGGCTGAGTTTATCAAGTAGCTCACCTAGCTAAGCAAAGAAGTATTCCCCTCCCCCTCCAATACCTAAGAAGAACACACACCTTGAGAAGAGGGGAAAATGTTTTAGCATATCAAAAAGTAAGAGTACAATTTTCTATATTTATCTCACATGAAAGCGTGCCAATATAAATATTAGGTGTGCTAAAATCCGTTTCTTGAGAAAAGAAGAACAAGCTAGGAAATCCCTCTCAAAGTAGATTTAATAAGGATCAAATCTAAAACTCTCACCTTGAATATAAGGGATTGAACAGTGATCCAACAACCCTTACTTCTCAAATTCTTACAACATTGTAGGTGTATATTTGAAGAACGAAAAATGAAAAGTTACATTCTAGAGGAGATTGTTGTTCCTTGTAGTTTAGTTCTTAGAAATACGGAGTAGTAAAATACTTTTTGGTTGAATATAGATAGTTCTATACTTCTATCTCCCATGAAAACTTAACAGTATCTATTTTTTTCAATTTAGTACTCGTAGGAAATATAATTGTTCATGCTTTTGTTTGTCAAACAACTTATTCTTTCACTTTTTAAATTACTCTCATCCTGTAGACTCTCATCATTTTGTACGACTAATCGCTAAGTAACATTTAATACCATCACTATTCAATTTTATGCCACTCAAACAAGCTAAGGGTACTAACTATTACTCCCATCAATTTGTATTAATCATTACAATATATTTTAATTTTTAACATTATTCATATACTACCTCCGTTACATATTATTTGCAACAATTAGACATTTTTCCTCTCTACTTTATGCCAAATCGTTGCAAATAATATGTAAAGGAGGTAGTATAAACTTTGACTATTTTTTGTTAATACCTAAATAAATACAGTACTTCATATATATTATCACGTTAAAAGTTGATGTTAGGTTTGTGGTAATATACGTTTTTAAACGATCAAATTTTTACGGAAGGAAGAGAGTACAAAACATATGGAATGAGTAGGATACAGTAATTTGGATATTCGAGGATACTCATGCGGCTGATATCAGCTAATTGCGCAAATACATGAACGCATGGTTGAATGTGGCCCTAGAAAAATGTGCACAAAAAAAGGACGTACCTTTTGTAGAGGATGAAAATGATGCGGCGATGTTGATTAACATCTTTTATAGTGGTCGTCCTGTATTTCTTTTGTCACCAATTTGTCAGGCATAATTTTTAATCAAACTTAAAAATATAAATGTCAGGCATACCTCAAAACCTTTTATTTTTTCCCATGTGATGAGTATGTAACCAAGTACTACTACTTGTTTAATTTTCCAATATATTGTGATCTTCCAAATCTGATTTTGATATAAATGTATTTGCTTATGATTTGCCCTTGCATTGTCTGCAATAGTTCTATGCAAAAACTATAAACAATATAGACATGTATGTATATGGAATATACTAGTACTACTATTATTAGCATTTAGCAATCATATTTTCTGCACAATGCTAATGCTATATTCCTCTGTGCTCCAAATCTGTGACTAGAATGTTGAACATAGTTTAACATGAAAAATATGGAGTATGTGTTTATTCAAATTAAAAATAATCCTCTTGCTGGTGAAATATAAATTTATACGTACCCCATAAAGTAAAATAATCAATAAATAAAATAAGTTGCTCATCTCATTTAATACTTTTGTAAAAGTAGTTTTTATGTTAGGTCTTGCATTATTTATGCAATATTACTCTCTCTGTTACAAACTATTCGCAACAAAGGAATTTTTTATGCCTCACAAGTAATACCCCTTTGTTGCGAGTAATTCATAACGGAGGAAGTACTAGCTTTCACAAGCTTCTTATAATAAAAAGTTGGTTGTCATTCTCTCTTCCAAAAGAGCTTGAGGTGAGGTGGAGTATGTAGTTATGTACTATGTACTTATGTAGTGTTATTGTTCCCAACCTCATGTTATGAGCTAGAGTCAAACTTTGTGAGAATTTTGAAGAAATAATTCTATCTCCACTCTCAAGTGATTCCTCTTTTCCCCTAAAAATAATCTCTCTCGAATTTTTATTGCTTTTGTTAAATTATCAAAATTTTGTTACATATTGGGTTCTTTTGGGGGTTAGGGACTTAGGTTTAATTGGAAATTATTCGTTCATTGGGTGATTATCCTATGTACATTCAAGTGTAAAATTGCACTCTCTTATAAGTATCCAAATAGTGGATTAAGGAAACTAAACTTTAATTACATTTGGCTTTAATTTAAAATAGATGAGATCGGAGTATGAAATTAAGTTTTTTTTTTTTTTTCCACTCGTACTATTCTTTTTTCCACGTGGATAATTGAATGATCATGCGAGCAAATTATTGAAATAGATAAGAGTTGGGCCCTAGTATGTAGAAAAATAGGGCTGCAACAAACTTAAATCTGGCAAACAATAGACAAAGATGCAAAAACTATGAATAGCAATAAATGTGTGTTCTCAAGTGAATATGAAAGTTAGTTTAATTTGTTAATTAGAAGGCCACACCCTTACTACTCTTAGACTCATAATCCAAAACATTCATAATTTACTATTCATGTTTGAATCTTTTAATATAATATGATATGAAGTACCAGTACAAATGTACAATGATATATATAAAAGATGTAAAAGCTATATTGTTGTATTCTATTTAGAAAGTGCTGACTACTACATAGGAAAACGCATGTAGAAGTATATAATATAAGGTAGAGAAGTACTAATGAGAGTGGTAATCATGATAATTAGCGTGCTTCTTTATATCCAAACATCACTAATCTATTTATGCATTGACTTTATGCCATTTGTAACTAACATGTTCTTATTCTTCAATTTGGCCGAACAAACAACAACAAACTAAAGGAGGGAAAAGGATGAACCTAACAATTTTAAAAACCTACAAACCCTGTCCAAAAATCTGATACTCCTGCTTTTTAAACGATTTTAAATCATATCACTTAGTCTTATTATAATAGGGTCCAATTTACTATGATGAAAACATACTATTATTACATACATCTTTTGTTACAATAACTTCTTCTGAGCATCAATATAATATTAAACTAGCCGTATTTTTGTTTCATGTAATAGCTTCAATTTGACTGTATAGTACGTAAAGCTTTTATGAATGAAATTGATACATGTTATTCTATGAATGACATTGATACATGTAGTGTACTCCTTTGTTTAGTTTGCACTTTGTTTATCTTACTTTGATTTGAACTGTATACATGTTATTTCAATAACATAATATACTGTTATTTACATCGTGATAAAATCTAATAAATTTGTGATTATTTTACCTATCGAGTATATCAACACCGACCTTATGCTAACTTTTTAACAACCTAAAATGTTTAAGCCATAAGTATAGAAGAAGTTCCTAATTCCCCCTGTATTTTACTTTAAAAAATAATAAAATAAATAAATAAATCCTTTTCAAAAAAGGGAAGTAATAATAATTTTTTTTTTTTTTGAAAGAGAAGCAATAATAATTTTATTTAACCATTAACTAAAATCTACCCGATCTTTGTAAAAAGAAAAAAATCTACTTGATCTCCATCCATGTAATTTTTACATTTCCAAACAATTTGCATCATAGGTTTCGATCACTTAGCTTCCATGTTTCCCCTCAACAATTTTCATTAAACTCTGAATTCATATTCTTTTAATGTTCCAAATTTTTTCATTATTCATACTTCCATAGGTTTACAATATAATTAAAAAATCAACGACCAACTAGAAGTTCCTTCATAAGTTTAAGGATTATTCAAGCCTTTTATTTAATTATTATATATTATTCATAATGTGATAACAATATGCCTAACCTAATCAATCAATCAATTAACCTCAAATTAAATTTAATTTGACTAATACTAACAAATAATATTCCCTGCCATGTGATCTAAAAGAATATCCCCTCATCTCCTACATTGCACGCCACCCTACCTTTTATTTTTATGGCTTATAAAAATTACAGCAGCAAGTAGGGAAGCATGTTTGTATACATCTCAATTACTATGAAAAAAAAAGTCAATCTAAGCCAATCCAATAATCCATAATTGTTTGTAAAAATTACCAACAACTCAAAAAGTCAAATGCACTTTTACTTTATTAGTTTCACCCTTATGCACTCAAACTAATGTAACCGAAAAAAGATTAAAAAAGAAAAAATAAAGATATTAGATAGATATGATAAAGAAGAAAACTTATGAATAAACATGTATGATGTTGAAGTGTAAAGGAACATGAATAATGTGATTACTACACCCTTGTTTCTCAAGCAACTTCAATACACATGATTCATGTATATTTCCCAGATCTACACTTTTCACCCCACCTCCACCTCCACCTACACGGTGTTTTACGGCTCGGCTTTCGACTACGGCCAACGGATCAAAAACCCGATCAACGACCGCCTTTACTAATTCTATAAATTACAAGAATTGAAACAAATACAACAATAATAATGCATAATTATTGAATTAATAAAATTGTACTAGATAAATCGTGGTATTAGTTTAGACAAGGGCTAATATTAAAACTATACGATGATCATATAAAATACATGATTTTAAGATATGATAAAACTAGTGGAAATAATATGATTAATAAAAATTAAAAAAAGGGGTTAATAAGAAGAGGTAATAATGTTGATCACCTAAGAGACATAAGAGGGGAAGAGGTGTAATTAGAGTTGTTGACTTTATTATTGATATTTGCAGCCGGATCATTACTATTTGCACTCTCTTTAACAACGACTGGAAATAGCAATTCAATATCAGCAGTAGAAACCTGAAAGAGAGTCCGACGAGAAGGACGACGTCGTTTCATGAGTTGCGCCTTAGGTTTCTTTGGTGCAGGTGGTGGCTGTCTTATATCCACCGCAATACGGTGTTCCTTCTTCGTCGGCGTCTTGTAACCCTCATCATCACCGTCGATTTCAATCATCTTCACTTCCTCATCGAACGGTTCTCCTTTCTTGCTGATAACATTCTCTAATTTACATAAATGCCCTTCTTCATGAATTTCTTCTTTTTCCTTGTCTTGTTGTTTATGATCTGAATTTCCCATGATTTGGTGTGTATTTTCTTCGAAATTATTAATTTTCTTTTTTTGAAAATAATAAATTAAAATAAAAATGGAATTGATGATTTGTTTATGTGGAAGAAGGGAGGAGAGAGAAAGAGGGGGATTTGGTATTCATGGTACCCACTTTGGCGAAGGATCCGATGCAAACGACATGACCTTATAATCAACAAAAACACATTCGAATTCGCTCTGTTTTTTTTGGGGATTTTCTCTCTCTTCTTATTTTCGCCTGAAACAGGGTTTTTTTTTTTGTAGGAGAGATAAAAAAAAAAAAAAGAGAGAGAAAGAGGAAGGTTGGGTTTATTTTGGGGGTTGAAGGGGAATATAACATGTCACAATCGCTTTAGGTTCTACGCACTTTGAGGTATCAATACACGTGGTTTTCTACACTAACTTAATTTTCAGAATTTTATTTCAAACTTAATCAATGAAATTATGAAATAATTACTGTAATGTTATGTAATTATGAAATTTATTTTTGCTATCGTTCTTGTTTGGGTATTGTTGTGAATAAAGATTTTTTTTTTTGGTGTGTTTGGGCCAGGTGTTTATTGCTAGGCATGGAAGATCATCATAATATTCCACAATCCTTATATTCTATCTTTTTTACGGAATATGTGAAAGAAAGATATACTCGGTCATAATAGCCACAAATCAAGATGCGGGTGTGAGTCACCATCAATTAAGCATCTACACTAGCGTAACATTTGATTATTTTTATACATAATTAAGGTTGTTACATGCAAAACACTACAAAGTATTTGAAAAATTAAATAGGATGGGTGTGTAGCATTAAAATACTAATGAATTATTAAAACATATCACCAAGAAATTCAATGGGTTGAATCAAAAGTTTTTTGAAATTAATGAATACATCAACTATAATATGTAATCACCTAATTAAGACTCTAAGAGTGTATTATCAATCAATTCTTGAAAATTTGGAGTTATAAGGAATATAAGGAATGTAGACGGTGGAGAGGAAGGAGATGAAATTAACTATTGGCTATATTGTAAATTTGTAAGGTTTGCCGGCCTATAACATGACATCAATAATAATTTTGCATCTTTTGACGTGTAGTGATTTTTTAGCAAATACAAATCTATTTGTTCAACCCCCGTTATGATTAGGTTTATAGTACATCATGGATTCATGAAGTAATAAGCACTTTCATTAGTTTTGATGGGGTGAATGATTTTAAAAGTCAAAGATTCAATTTAGAAGAAATGTATAATAATCACCTAATATGTGTTAAAAAATACTCGATTTGAGGTTTGGTGGTTAAAGACTAAGCCACTATATATGCAATGGATTCACATCTCAATCATAGATTCAAAGAGGAAGGATCATTATGTGTAATAATAATATATAAGTCTTCCAAAGTTTATTATTTTTTTGAAAATTATCACCATATGTATATCATTACACAATAAACTTAAAAATAATACTTTTTCTATCATTATATATCATCAATTTTTTTTTTCAAATAATGATTTACATGCATGATGTATGTGATAAAATTCTTGATTAATTAAGATAACGATTACTAACTAGCTAAGGCATGTAAGTCTTTTGATATTTCATCTTTAAAGGTGATAGACAAAGTATATTTTATCATAAATTTGGTAAAAAAATATATATAAAAGGTGATATTAATGGGGCAATATCATATTTATTGTAAATATGGATTAATAATACATGCATATCTTTTTCATTCTTATTGTATCTCGATTTGTGATAACGGTGTTAAGATTGGGAAATAATAATAAATAAATAAATAAATAAATAAATAAATATATAATAGGATAAAATAAAAAATTTACTAGTGTATGAGTAATATGATGGAATTGAATGGCACGCACAATTTAGCCGGGTAAATGTAAGTAGCAGCCTAGGATTCCCGCGTTAATAACGGTAAGAGTGAAGGGTTGTTAAAAGGTATCTGGTAAAAGGCCATAAAAATAGAGTAGTTAACTAGAAATAAGAGCTGGAGAAAAAAGCCAAACTTTGGATGCTCTTACCTTGTAACATACTCCACTAACGAGAATGCCATAATAATAGGGAATAGTAGTAAATTGTAAAAACGTAAAAAACGAATACGAAAGGAAGTTTGACATTCACGCTAATATTATGAAAGCTGCTTGTTGCCTAAACTAGTTGAAAGTGAAGGGGGACCCAATTAGATTGCTTGGATTTCACCATCATAAAGGGTGTGCCAACAATTTTCGGCACCTTTTCCACTTTGGTCCCTCATCTTTTCCTCTTTTTCTTCTTTGCTCCCTCCACAACTTTCCCCATTTTTCTATTCCACTTCCATCGATCTTATTATTAGAGTATAAGAAATATTCACTCATCAGATCATCTGTTTAATACTCTTATACAGGTCCAGCATAACCCCAAGTCGATCTTGAGGAATGGTGATAATTAAAGTAGAGTAATAATCCGATGTATGTAGCCACTAATTTTATATGTTAGTCTTTTTTTTTCTTAATTAACTTCAGTCGTCTCATCAACTATCACGACCACAATATGAACATTTATCGTGTTTTACAAATATTGTGGCACGAGTCACATGAACACGCCAGCCAAAATTAAACTTGTATCTTTGGACGCATTATTATTGATCGATTTTCTTTTATCTTATGTTACATTATGAAATAACTGATTGTATGCACCATTATTGTACGGAGAACATATGTAAATTAATTGAAGTGACACACATTAATGAAAGGTCTATGTATATATGAATATAATCACTACTACATTTGAGAGCTAATCCAACCCCTATTTCCGTTGTATTAGGTGTTAAAAACCGTTGTATTAGACCTAATACAATGGCTAACAACCGTCACATTTGCTAGGGTTGGATTAGGTCTAATACAACGGTAAAAGGAACCTAATCCAACGGATTGGGCAATCCGTTGGATTAGGTTCCTTTCTTCTTTTTTAGGAATAACTGAACCTAATACAACGGATTGGCCTTTCTTCCGTTGTATTAGGTCTTTCTTTTTATTTTTATTATTTTTATTTTTTTTATTATTATTATTATTATTATTAAATTAATAAATAATTAAATAGATAAATAAATAATATAAATAATACTTAGTAAAACCTTAATTATAAAACCTTATCTCAATTTAGATAGTTAAAAAGTCTACAATCATTCAAGGGGGTTAGCTTACATTATACAATCAAGTACATGATTACTTGATTAGTGATTAACATGCTAATTAGTCTAAGAAAAGCAAGCAATATATTATTGGGCATATGTTTCACATCACCCAGAAATTGATCCTTAACCACATTATGATTTTATTATTTCTTTCTTATAACATGTTGTTATTCACTTATCATTATAATCAATTCAATGTACGTGATTGATTAATTATTTCCAATAATCCAATCCCACACAAATTATTAGATTATTCTCTTTTTTTTTTTTTATTATTATTAATATTATTTCATATTTTACTTTATTATTTATTTTTCATGCATGTAGATGAATAGATCACAATGGCTATTATGACAGATAGTCAAGAGAAATTAGGAGCTTTGAGTTGTAGTAAAGTATAAACCTAATTATTAGTCCAAAGCCTCAATACTTAAGCAAAGTATCTTCGACTGATTTGCAGTACAATATAAGCTTATCAAGCAAGCCTCTGACCTAATATGCACTAATATAGACTACCAGTAGTAAATATATTGCCAAAAAGTAAATTTTGATTCTACTTGAAGAAACTGTAAAGTAGTTTGTACGAATTATCTATTCAAAACTATGTAAGCTAGTGAAAAATAAATAAATTATACACCCTTTTTTATTATACACCCTTTTTACTTAAAGCTGGACTTGCTCTCATTTGTGAATAATAGTTGGTTATTAAAAAGTTGATCTTGAGGAATGGTACTTACGATTTGAGATCAAATCTTGTTTATATCATTTGCAATCGTTACTCTCTTTACATTAAAAAAAAAAAATGTAACTTGTTCTTACTTTATTTTATTTTGCCAAATCCTTCAACTAACTTATCCCTTTTGCCTCATACTATTTACACTTTCCGGTTCACTTTTTTTTTTTTTTTTTTAATTTATATTTTTTTAATTTATTTTTTATTATTTTATCCATGTTTTACACCTAGACCCCCCACCATTTATTTCATCTCTCCTACATTACTTACATTTTCTTACATTCAATCAAGCTAATTCAGCTCAACTAATAATTCGATTTTATCTTAATTTTTCTAGTCCAATCTAGTTTAGTCAAGCTATTCACTAATAATATACTCCGCAAGATAATAACGTTTCATTATATGAGATATGTCATTAGAATTGTATTAATAACTATGTAATTTTAAATATGAAATATTCATAATTTTTTCGAAGGTTTATATCAATTAGTAAACACAAAATTAAAAAAAAAAAAGATCTAATAATTAAATATTAGCTTAAATTTTTATATAATAAACTGAAAATGTTCCATCAAAAAATAAAATAAAAAGAACATGTATAGTCTCACTTTTTATAAACTTTTCTACAAATATAAATATAAATAATGTATTATAATTATATAACTACCCTTTTAAATCTTGGCAATAATAAGTTGATTTCCTTAATTATGGCCCATATAAAAGTAGGTTGTCAAAGATATTATATTTAATGAGCTTTGACGACGTCCTTGGTGACTTTCTGCTAGTATCCTTCATCGTGATTCTTTGAGGCTTTCGCTTCACATTTCTATGATGTATTCAGTATTCTGATCTGAGTACGCCAAGAATCTGCTTTGTTTCTTGTTTCTTTCTTATATTTCTCCAACCCTTTTGTCTTTCCCTCACATCTGCCACTTATTTGTAATTTCCATCCATGCGTTCTTATTTCATTATATGTACTTTCTCCCAGATAAATAATTTAAAGGCTAAATAGAAAGCAAAAAGACGCAATATTAAATAGTTGAACGAAGGTCGGGTAGCTACATCCAGGCGCTTTGCTAACCAACGCTACTATGTTAAGGTCCTCTAATAAAACAACAGAATCGATGATGAAGACTTTTCCTGTGCACTTTATAATACGTAGTATTATTGAAACTCACAGGGACAACTTACTAACGTCATGTGTCACCCTTCCTTCGATATGATTTGGTACTACATGTTTGCTGTGTATTACTGTATATGTCATCGCCATTCTCTCACCACATTGAATTGTACTAATGTTTAGTCTTTTTAAATTAGCATAAATTTAATTTTCTATAATAGTGTTTAATTTATTTTGAAAAATCTTCATATATATATGTATGTATATAACCTCTAATTGTACTAATGCTAAGTGCATGGGATTTTAAAAATTAAAGAAATAAAAGAATATATTAGTAACTCAATTATCAAAAAAAAAAAAAAAAAAAAAGGTTAGTAACTCAATTAGGTTCTCAGTATTTTGTATTTGTGTAAATGCATGGGATTCTAAAATTGAAGAAATAAAAGAATATGTTGTTGGTGATTTTTATTTGTCATTGGACTACTCAAACAAATGTACTATATTTGGCCTTTTGCTAATAGTAAACCCAAGTGTGCAAAATTGTATACAAGCCATATGTTTGGGCCTCCCCCATGGGACCTGCTTTCCTTCCAGAAAAATTACCTAAAATAGTAAAAATACCTTTCATTGTGAATTTCCTAAAATGCCCTTGGTACAAACCTACCAAATGATCTTCAACTTAATACTTGGGGACTTGGGGTACATATATCAAAAATCAAAAGGCCAATTTAATCCATACAATTAACAAGTGCATAAATTTAAGAAGGATGCTCCTTAATCCCCATATAATTATTGAATAGTCACATTTTAAGTTCTCAAGTAGTGTAAACTTGAATAACTGGACTTTCTTTCTCTATATTCGATTGTCTCCCTATAAAGATATATTCGTGAACACAGGGGCAATAGAGAGAAGACAGTACTGAAAGTAAAGAGTATATATATATATAGATCTTTTGTAATTCAACCCAATAATGAATCACATTTGAATTGAATAATGCAGTATATTGAATTTTGAAATGAATATCATGCTATCCTTGTTTGCTATTATTGATAGTGTACCTTTACATTGTTATTACAATCGATTATTTCTTTTCCTATCCTTTTCCTTCTCTCTACTTGAACCTACCTACATAGTCTTATGACTCGTGCACCTTATAGTACGCAATTGCATGTATAAGTAAAAGAAATACTCCCTTTGTTATTTTTACTTGACATCCTTTGACTTTTACACTATTAACTACTTTTTCTTTGATCGTCTTTTATAAATTATACATAACAAAAAATATATTCAGCATATTATATTTTTTTACGGAAGAAGAATTAAATTTATTGTTCGTTAAACTTCTACATTAACATCATGTTAAATGAAATAGGAGTATTAAATAGACTAGGGGTAGTCGATACAAAAAAAAAAAAAACTTATGAATTTCCCATTTGAATGTAAAATAAATGATTCTTTGGATCAACCTTGTCTTTTATTGGGTCACAGAAGTAACAACAATCCATAAATTCTAAATCATAATTAGTCCAAGTTGAAACTTGTAAGCCCAAATCCAACAAATAAAAAACAAGGACCCAAATTAATAAGATTGGACCCCCAGAAATAATAAAAAAAAAAAAACCATGTTCCCTTCTTCCTTCGTCTCCTCTGATAATGGGGACCCATGATGCGTGAGCGTGACAACGTGCAGGTCCGACAGCTGGGCTGTTAATGAGTGGTGAAATCAAGTCCTGGAAATTAAAACTTCAAGGACCGCTTCTTTTGGTGTTCATCCTCTAAATTAAACCGTTACTATCATTCCGTTTTTATTTATTTTAATTTTAATTCAAGAAGTGGACAACCACGATTTTTTTTAAAACACACAATCTCTCCCTATTTTTGTAAACCCCTCCTTCTCTTCCCTCCTTCCTCTCCCATTTCTCATTTCACTCTTCTTTCACTTTTCCAACCCCCGCTTTCTCTCTCCTCTTCATAACCTAAGGTATGTAACTGCATTTCTTCATTTTCAAATCTGAATTGTGAGTTTTATTTTGTTTTTATTATTTTTGATATCATTATTCATTGATGATCGAGGAATTATTGTGATTGTTTGATTTTGACGTTTCGTAATATCCATTGTTGAAATGCATGCTCTGAAATTATGTTTGATCGTATAATTAACTGCTTCGATCTGGTGTAATTCCAGTACATACGTAAAATGAGGTTGATATTTTAATCGTCGTAATGTGAATTTTTTTCCTGTCAATTTGATTTATTCGGAATGTTGTGATGATTTGTACTCTTATAATTCGTCATGTTGTGATGATTTGTGCTCTTACAATTTACGACTCGTCATGTTGTGATGATTTGTGCTTTGATAAATGCTAATAAATGTTGGTCATGGTGACAAAATGTCGTATTTGTGATTTGTCCTATTCGTCCAAGATATGAGACATTGAGACTCTAATCACTTGTTTTTGTCATCATTTTGTGTGTTTTTTGGCTTGTTCTTGGAATGAAACCAGAATTTTAGCAAAATGTCCTTCTCTGAACACGTGTATTTGAGATTGTTTTTTATATTAGGCACAATTGTTATTAAAAACTAGTCAATAAACAATGGAATTTACTAATCACATGGTTTGGTGTCAAACAAACTTGTAGTAGTAGTAAGATTGAAGCAAAAGTTTAATGTGCAATGAGAGTATTGACCAAATTGATTTTATCCCTTTAATCAATTTGTAATTGGATAATTCCGTTGTTTACCATGATTTAACATTTTATGATGTCATTGCATTTTACATCAGATGATCATATTGCAATGGTGTATGTATAACGTGTGGGTCAAGAAAAATCTAATAAGTTTGATGGAATGATTAAATCAAACTAGTCAAAATTTCACGTGTATTGACTGATTTCAAACACATGAAATTCTGAATTTGGATGTGAATAGCTACAATGATGCAATGTGATTGGATGGGATTATATGCAAGTGCACTGATCTTATGATAACCTTTCTGTGTTAGCTAAGACGTCACCATTGATATAACTGCATAGATCTTATGGTAACCCACTTTGGTTAGCTAGGGTGTCAACTTATGGATGCCTTTTTTTTAAGTTTAACTCTGCTTGACTGCTTGTTTCATTGAGTGGTGAAAAAGCTATATATGTTGTTGATCCTTTAAATTATGTTTTCGAGTTGATTCCATGTATTATATGGTTTCATACTCTTGCTCAGTTCTTTTCTTTTGCTATTTGTTCCCTTGACTGGTTGTCATTTGGTGTGTGATCTAAGGTTTGAGGTCTTTTGTTACAGTTAGTCGTATAAGATGGCTGATGTAGAGGATGTTCAACCACTTGTGTGCGACAATGGAACTGGAATGGTTAAGGTACATTACAAGCTTCTTTTAATAAAAATTTTCTATTAGTAGTTAAATTAATGGTTTTTATGAAATGAAGTAATGCTGTGGACTGTTGTGTTGCCAGAATCAATATTGACTAACTTAAGCTTTTGCAAATATCAAAATTTAGGCTGGATTTGCCGGAGATGATGCTCCAAGGGCTGTCTTTCCTAGTATTGTGGGACGACCACGACACACTGGTGTCATGGTTGGTATGGGCCAAAAAGATGCATATGTTGGAGATGAAGCCCAATCAAAGCGTGGTATCTTGACCCTGAAATACCCTATTGAGCACGGTATTGTCACCAACTGGGATGACATGGAAAAAATTTGGCATCATACCTTCTACAACGAGCTTCGAGTTGCTCCTGAGGAACACCCAGTGTTGCTTACAGAAGCACCTCTTAACCCAAAGGCCAATCGTGAAAAGATGACTCAAATTATGTTCGAAACTTTCAATGCTCCTGCCATGTATGTTGCTATCCAGGCTGTTCTCTCCCTATACGCCAGTGGTCGTACTACTGGTAAGTGAATTACAGATGATCTTGACTTTAAATTAACCGCTTGGTCATCTTATTGACACTTGAGAGGGTTTGAGGGTATGAGTCACTTCTGCATGCTATTGTGAGTGACAAACTGATAACTGATGCTTAGCTTTTCAAAGTTGATAAATTCAATGTTGGAAGACTGAAAATATGGCTGTCAGGATGTATTCAGATGCCCAAATAAAACAGTGCTCTCTAGTTTTGAGGAAATTGTCCTGTAATGCTTATCTAGTGATGCATCCTTTAACCTGATATATGGTGTATAGAGTCATAGAGATCATTTATGCAAATGCACCTCTGATGTTTAACAAGGGTGTTATATCAATTTGCAGGTATTGTTTTGGACTCTGGTGACGGTGTCAGTCACACCGTTCCCATCTACGAGGGTTATGCCCTCCCACACGCTATCTTGCGTCTTGATTTGGCTGGACGTGATCTCACTGACCACCTCATGAAGATTCTAACTGAGAGAGGGTACTCTTTCACCACCTCTGCTGAACGAGAAATTGTAAGGGATATAAAGGAGAAGCTGTCTTACATTGCTCTTGACTATGAGCAGGAGCTCGAGACTGCCAAGACTAGCTCTTCAGTTGAGAAGAACTATGAATTGCCTGATGGGCAGGTTATCACCATTGGGGGTGAGCGTTTCAGATGCCCTGAAGTCCTCTTCCAGCCATCCATGATTGGTATGGAAGCTGCTGGTATTCACGAAACCACTTACAACTCCATCATGAAGTGTGATGTCGATATCAGAAAAGATCTGTATGGAAACATTGTTCTTAGTGGAGGAACCACAATGTTCCCCGGAATTGCTGATAGGATGAGCAAGGAAATCACTGCTTTGGCTCCTAGCAGCATGAAGATCAAGGTTGTCGCTCCACCTGAGAGGAAGTACAGTGTCTGGATCGGAGGGTCCATCTTAGCATCTCTCAGCACATTCCAACAGGTAATTAAAATGCTCAAAACAAGACTGCTTCATTTTATTTTATTTCATTATATACTTGTTTGAACTTGTCAAGAATTGTTACTAGTTGTAAAATGAACATGTTTTCATGAAACTTAAGTTTTTAAGCGGAGTTGTAACTATTAGCCTAAGTTGTTAACATAGCATCAATCAATGTGATGAATGGTTTAATGAACTGTTGTGTTTGGTTCGTTTTATAGATGTGGATTGCGAAGGCAGAATATGACGAATCTGGTCCATCAATTGTTCACCGCAAGTGCTTCTAAATTCTTTTCTGTTGGATTATAGAGTTGGAAGAAGTATAATCTTCCCATTGGCGCAAAGAAATTACAGCTTGAAGATATATTTTTTATATGACCGAGTTATTTTGAAGTTATCATATTCCCAAGTTTATCGTCATTGTTGTTGAGACTTGGCCTTCAAAGTCCGGCCAGAGGAAGAACCAAAAAAATAAAAAAAAGTTAACAAATTTAATTTGTTCATTATTCTATTTTGTTTAGTTGATTTTCTTGTTGATTATAATTGAGAGTAATCTGTGATATATTAACAATTACCCATTTTTCTTATTACATTAATTTCATGTTTTATTCATGCCAATTTCAATGTTGTATAGCTTTGATGGCCTTATTACAGTTGATTTTCTACTCTATATACTGAATACTGGTTGCCTTAATTGTCTATGATATTCACAACCAGGACAGGATAATGTAATGAAGTACTAGTATTGTAATAGACTAATCAATGTTGCAAGAAAAGTTAATTCTGGAAAAACCAAAAGTTAATTCTGGAAAAACCAAACTTAATTAAATCGGTTTTCCTTGACGTCAAATTTTGCAAAGTCTATGAAAAGAAGCAGAAATAATTGTATGATGTACTCCAGCTTTAAGCTTGTTTCTTTTCTGTCTCCGTACTCTCAACCTCAACTTGTGAAGATGGAAAAGGTGCCAAAAATAGGCGATTAGTGTTGTCAATTTGATTTTTTTGTTTTTACATCAATTTGATAGATACCCCGTCAAAAAAATAATATTCAATTATCATGTGTAAATAAGACCAAAATAGTATACTTGGTAGAGTAATTATTTCATGACACATCGATAATTATTAGATAACAGAGCAACAAAGCCAAACAAAATTCTAGTGAATTTACAAATGTTACACTAGTTGAGAAAGAAAGAGGAAATTTTGTATTTTGCCTTTCTTTCCACCAAAAAATACAAGTCTTGAAAATGACACTTCACCTCACCAACAACAAAAAGGAACTATTATATCTAATTCTTGATTCGGTCACTAATCAATCTAATGTTGAGACCGAGGTATAACTCAAATGGTTAGAACTTCCTCCCAATTTCAAGAGACCTTGGGATCTATCTCATCAATTCGCCCTCGTGGCTCTCTAAACACCAAAATAAAAATTTTAAAAAAAAAATCAATCTTATATTAATATATTAATATGAGTGGTTTTTTTTTTAAATAATAAATTAATGCGAGTAATTAATTACACTTTATATTAGGAAGTACTCCGTAGTACTTGTAAGTTGTAAACACTAGCAACATATCATTTCCTGTTTGTTTAATCTTCCTTTAATCCTGAAAGAAGTCATATTATTCTCACATTTTAGTCATCCTTCTAAATCCCCAAAAGTCTCCCTATTCCTTTCAATCAAGCGCGCTCTTATGTACCTGCTACCGGCGCTGATGCCAATAATCACCGGATTCTACGCTAACAAATGGAGCTTCTAACCCCATTTCCCTTGCCTGACCCAACCGTTGACCGGTACTCCCGGTTTTCCTCCTCACCTTCTTTCTCAATGGCGAGTTACGCCGCCGAGTTGGAACGCCAACCGAGTCGGACCGAGTTGAGCTCGAGTTTCACGAACATCGAAGAAGATGAAACGAGGAGAGAGAAAGTGTATGTTGCTGTTGGAAGGTCTGAGGGGAAGACCGTTTCTTTGCTTCGATGGACGTTTCGTACTTTCCCGAACTCTGATATTTGCCTTGTTCATGTTCATCAACCTTCTCCTTACATTCCTACTCTCTGTAATTTCTCTCTCTTTGATTTTCTTTTGTTAATTTTCTGGAACTTTTAGAAAATTATATTCGGTTTTATTTGGTTGAGCTGAGTTAATTAGTTTAAATGGTGTGATATCATCGGAAATTTGATTGTTTGACTGAATCATGTTAATTGCAGCTTATATTTTTTTAGATGCTTGGCAATTTAGTCCATTTCTTTTGGTTAATTGTAGTGTATATACTGTTTTGGAATGTCCGGAAAAAAAATTGTTACATTTCCTAAATTAGAAGTGAATTATGGCCAGATTTTCAAATATTTCTGTAATTGAATAAAATTGGAAGCAGACAACTATTAGGGGTGTTGGGACAATGTGGTTGTTAATTTCCAATGTAATATTCTTTGTGACTTAAAGAATGATCGGCAATAAAATTGGTTAAAAGATTATTAAAGCAATGACTATTGAGTGAACTCTGAGGTTTGCTTGGCGTTTTCTTATATGTTTTGCGTCTTTGGAGAGCCTATTATGTACACCCGGGGTCATTTGATCATTCAATCAACAAATAAGTAAAAATATTATTTGCTCATTTGTTGATTAAATGAGCAAATGATCCTCTATACACCCGGGTGTATATAACAAATTCTAGCATTTTTGATGAAGAAGTTTCATTCTGATGTTCACAATAATCACCAAAATGTTATATGAAGTAAGAAATATGGAGTCTTAAATAGTTAGTGTCCTAACTAATCCTAAAGAATGTAGATAGGATCACTCATTTTTTGTGAAATGTGATACATGTAAGCCTACTACTTATGGCGATAAGATTGTTATTTGACTGTACTGTTATCTTTGTTGGTTTTTCTGCGATGCAGTGGGAAAACTACCAGCAACGCAAGCAAATGCAGTAGTGGTGACTGCATACAGGAATGAGGAGAGGGGGAAAATGGAGAAATTTATCCGTTCTTACTTGGACTTTTGCTATCGAGCCAAGGTGAATTCTCATGTTCAGATTAGGGGCTGATTGCATAGCTTGAAACTTAAGTTTATTGCTTTGAGGCTTGATAAAGGGTAATGGTAGTATTGAGTGTAGATGTTGTTGAGTACATTGATTTATTGAAAGCCCTCTCTCTTTTAGTTGATTGAATTTGGACTTGCATTTTCTGTTATACGACTAGTTCGTCTTCAATATTATATAAAGTGGCTGCATAGCTGTACTAGAACCTGCAAAATTAAAGCTTGATTAACTCAGTAAACAAATGATTTATCCTAATAATGGAATCAACTCCAGCTACTGTTTTTTAGTTTAGAATCCAATAAATATGAAGAATTTCTTCTTCTTTGTTTCTAATTTGCTATAGTGCAAAAAAGAGGCAAACCAATGCTCACCTTTTTATCTACTCGCATTCTTAAGATATTTTCATTTTCCCCCTTGCCAGCTCATTCCTATGTCTTTTCTAAATCATAATGTAATAAAATGTTGTTAATCTGATGAACCATAGCAGTACTTTGTAAAAAATTACTGGATGTGGTTATTGTTTTTGTCAGGTAAAAGCAAGCAGTATTATCACCGAAGATGAGCAAGTTCACAAAGGACTCATGGGTCTGGTCATGAAACATGGCATGCAGAAGCTCATTATGGGGTCAGTCTCAGTCCTTGAATATTATTTTATCTTTTCTTTAGGACTAAACACCATGGATGTTTGAGGAATATGTTTAATGCAGCTTTCAGCAACTAATTATATCTCAACGCTGCTTTGATCTTTCTTATTTTGTCCATCCTTTCTACAATTCTCCTTTTCCCTTAAATGTCTCCCTAGGTCCGGTGGGGGTTTGTCATTGACATTCAAAAATTTATCTTATTGTGCTCAATTTATATGGTGCAGTTGCGTGAAGGTAAAAAAGCATTCTCATAAAGAATTTTATATTGCCAAAAGTGCTCCAGCATTTTGCGAGATATGGTTCATCCATAAAGGGAAGCATGTATGGACAAAAGAAGCGTTTGAGAAAGTTACAACTTGTCAGGCAGATGAGCTGACAGAAGGTTTAAGGTCAAAATCTTTACCGTATAAGAATAGTAATCGTCTATACAATCCAGTTAATCGTGGTGGTAGTTCTTCTCGCCTAAGCATGCAGTGCTCTGAGATTAAAGATTTGAATCAGGAGGATCCCTCTGATGAAGATTTTTTATTACCTAGTTTAGAAAACACTTTGGAGCCTGAATATGCTCGAAGCTCTACCAGCGATGGTTCTGCAACAAGTACATCCATGGGGGAAAAGGTTTCCAGAGATTCTGGCTTCAAATTGGAGGAAGATCATCTGTATGATCAGCTTTTGGAAGCAAAAGCAGAAGTTGAAACTTCAAGAAATGAAGCATGTTTGGAAATATTGAAGCGCAAGGAGCTTGAAGCTGAAGCATTGAAGGCTATGAGGAAGGTGATTTTCTGAGCTCTGACCATTATTTTGGTTGCAGTTTAGGAATTTGGCATTTGCTAAATACAGAGTATTAACTTTCCTAAAGCCAGAAGTTTACCATATATATATATATATATATATAAAACAGTTTCAACAGTTATCTCTATAAGTTGTGCTTTCTATGAAAATGATAAAATTCAACTAATTGGCATGGTCTAACAACTTCCACATATAATTTCAGATTTTAACCTAGTCCTAACAACTATTATTGATGCTTTTCTTTTCTTTGCACTGTTTCCTCATATAAAACATATTTATTCTGTACATTGTATCAGTCAGGTATTGCTGATACTGTTAGAGTTGGCACTTTATTTTGTCCGGTAGAGTTTGAATTTGTACATGCTTTTTCTATATTGTATGCATATGCTGTGGTAAGTAGTTTTCACTATAGTAGAAACTTGCAGTAAGAGGCACAATTGAGGACAGACTGTGAATTTGGACTGAATTTATGCTTAATGTGACATTTATTCAAAATGAAAAGAGATGCTTAATGCTTATACTTATGAGCTTTGAGTTTTTATTTGCGAGTAGTTTCTGCTATTAGTTGTCATCAACCACGATCTTATCTTTTCTCTCATTTGTGAAGTATCTCAAATTCTGTGTGGTCTCCTTAGGTGAAGGACTTTAAATCTGTTCAAACTCGCGAAGCTGAACTTAGAGAGGAAGCTGAAAATTCTCTAAGAAGCTTGATGGATGAACAACAAAGGTTGTTAGAGGAAAGACTAGAAGTTACAGGAGAGCTCCAGAAGACCATGAGGAATGTGGCTGTTTTTGGTAGTCGTGTTCAGGAGGCCAACCGCCGTTGTGATGAGGCAGCTGGGGAGCTGAAACTTGTCCAAGTTTGTATTGCAAGTTTGCGTCAAGAAAAACAAAAGATTGAAAGACAGAAAATAGAAGCTGAACGTTGGCTTGAGAAGTGGAGAAGTCGCAGGCGTACTGGCCATGGTAGTTCGAACCGCCATGGATATGGGGGGCTTCTGGATGACGTGCCAGAGTTAGTGGAGTTTACTCTACTGGACCTGCAAACTGCAACATGCAATTTTTCCGATAGCTTTAAGCTAGTTGAAGGGGGATATGGTTGCATCTACAAGGGAGAACTGCTGAGTAAAACTGTTGCCATACAAAGGTTCCATGCACACAACATCCAAGGCCCGTCACAATTTCAGAAGCAGGTTTTTTTTCTTCTCATTTTGAAATAGGTTTTTATTTTATTTTATATTTATATCAAAGTTCATTAACAATTGAAATGTAGAGATGAAACTTAGATACTGACTACCTTTGCAGGTTCAGGCTCTCGGCAAGCTGCGCCACCCTCATTTGGTGACTTTGGTGTATGTCCAGAGGCCTGGTCGCTTGTATATGATTTTGTACCCAATGGGTTTCTCCAATGGCGTCTCTTTCAGAAAAACAACATTACACCTCTTTCCTGGAAGCTCCGAGCTAGAATCATCTCTCAGATTTCAACTGCCCTTTTATTTCTTCATACCTCGCATCCGGAAAAGATAATTCATGGTGACCTCAAACTCGAAAGCATCCTTCTAGATTCTGATCTACACTGCAAAATTGGTGATTTTGGTTTCACCAAGTTACTGTCACAGGATAATCTGACTTCCTCTAGCTATAGCCATTATCCTGATCCCCAAGGCGCCTTCCCATATAGAGATCCAGAATTTCATAGAACAGGCAAATTGTCAACGAAATCCGATATATACTCATTTGGCGTCGTTATATTGCAGCTACTAACAGGACAACCTCCAGTTGGATTGGTAACACGCGTCCGTAGAGCAGTTTCCAGTGGAAAGTTAGATTCAATCCTGGATTCATCTGCTGGGGAATGGGGTCCATTTGTGGCAGAAAAATTGACTGATGTGGCTTTGAGATTCTGTGAACAGAATAGTCGGGTTAGGCCAGAGCTGACACCCTCTCTGGTGAAAGAGCTTCAACAGCTCCATATCTCAAAAGAGCGGCCAGTGCCATCTTTCTTTCTTTGCCCAATCCTTCAGGTCAGTGAGAACCATCTGTTACTTCTGAGTTTGCAGTATGGAGTTTGCATCTTGAATTTTTCAAGCTATGTGACTAGTAAATATGGAAGATTTTTAATAAAAGGGATGATGTTGAAACAACAGAAACCAGTCTGTTTAGCTGATTTATGTTTATCTATTGAGGGGGATTTTTACGTAATTCTGCGTTAGTTTGCCCATGTACCCAAGCTGTGACATGAAGAGCTTGTTTGCGACAATCATATGCGTCATTTCTCTTTCCCTCATTTTTCATTAATTATTTTTAATATGTGTTCTGCTGATCTACGTAACCTGTATATGTATATATTTGGCATGCCTAAGCTTCCATTAAACTCTTTCACCATTTCCTTTCAGGAAATCATGTGCGACCCTCAAGTAGCAGCTGATGGGTTTACCTATGAGGGAGAAGCCATTCGTGAGTGGTTAGAAAATGGTCGAGAAACTTCTCCTATGACCAATTTGAGATTGGATCATCTGCATCTTACTCCAAATAATTCTTTGAGACTAGCTGCTCAAGAATGGATGTGCAAATATTGATTGTTCACATGCGTGTGCAGTTAACCAATGTTAATAACCCTGTACAGCTGTATTACTAACTACTTGACTAGATATTGCTTCCAAAGTTGTAGATGGTGCAATCAACATGTCCCTGTATCTGAAAGTTTTGCCTCTGATGAGCAACCAGGAGAAATTAAGGGTAGGGAGTAAGAAGTTGTATGTTCCTTTGTTGTGTAAAACCAAGAAATCTAAGGTTAGATTGAGTATATATTGTATTACTGTCTATAGGATAAACACAATTTATTGACAATAGCAAACTATACCGAGTGCCATTTCTTTTGCAGGGTAAATTTGTTGTACTTTGTATACTGTGCAATAAAATATACTACTAGCATTATCTTTCTCTGATATCATGTCACTGAAGCTCTGAAAGCATTGATATATATAATTTTTTTTTTTTTCGGCCTATATACCGCCTGTAGAATTTACTCTATTCCATAGTTTCAATCCATGTAAACCTGTATAACCATATTCTTACACTGTCAACCCAAAATAACCTTATAATTGCAGATTTGCAGCACAAAACTGTCAAGAAAATTGCATCAAAGGTAAATGTACAACAACAATTTTGGTATCTTTCTTGCATTCTACAGCATTCTCTTTTTCATAAATTGAAATTAAGATCTCTGATGACCAAAGGTTAACATTTTAGACAAGCTAACATGCTCTGTTTATGATATACAACCTGCAAATTGCGCGTGCAGGACCTTGTAACTAAAATACAGAAAACAACTCATCTGTTCTTAATCCTCTTTTGAAGCAGCCAACAAAGACACTTTATTATGTTCCTCAGTATCATTAAATGGATGATCTTCCTCTTCTATAAGCACCCCATTGCTAGTTTCATTCAAGAGCAGATTTTTCTCCCCCGTATTATTGCTCCAACCAAGCCAATCTTCTTTCCTTGTCTCATGTTTTGGTGCCTTATTTTCTTTCAGAAACCTCTTTACAGTTCTGGGTTTGTCATCCTTACCATCGTGATCTAGAAAGATTACTCGAGGCTGATTCAAACCATTCTTTTCCGGTGGTTTTTCATCACATCCATGCTCATTGAACTGGGAATGGCTCCTTCCATACGAAGTCAACGGGTCTTCAAGTAGGGAGGCTGATCTTCCAGAAAAGCTACCAAACCCTTTAATTTCTCTTGTTAGCTTTCTGGCTTGCTCTCTTTCTTCCTTGAGGAGAGGCCTCTTTTCGAGCAACTTCAATACTCTCTCTGACTTCTTCCTCACAGCAAGGCCCCAATTAAATCTGCATATTACTAAACTATATGTTATATTTTCAGATAACATAATGCAGCAAAAGAGTTTTTTGACATTAGTCTGCCTACCCTTTTTCATCAACATGCTGAAAAGTTTCCATGTTATTGATGATGAATTTCTCTGTTTGAAACTCCTCTGCAACACTTTCTGGTCCATGAGTCAGCAAGTGCTCTAATACTATCAAAGCATTGTAAGATTCCCTCCAATTCTTTCTATCAAATTTTGATAATCTGACCACAAAGGGGATGGAAAAAATCTTTCAGATCATGGAAAATCAAACATACTGTGTGAGGACTGATAAGTTGATCTCGGAAATTGGCAAAATTTTGTTGATCTCAAACACCACAAGCCACTGATCAGTACCACCACAAGAACATATTCATATAGCTTATATGATGTACCACCATATAAATCAAGATTGGACAATTTTGTTGATCTTCGAGATCAACTATGAGTTCCTCTACACAATCCAGGCCAAGACAGAATATAAAAATAATGAATACATGAAAATGATTAGGAATATGATGAACAAGAAATTTGACATACTTGTTATGCAGAATTTCCACAATTCTCCAATAATCATCAACTTCAAAAGCAGCCCTTGATATTAGTCCCAGGATTCGAGTATCCGGTGACCATGGATTAGCAGTTGTTGCTTCCTCTGTCATCCTGTTTAAAAGTCCCCAGCAATCATAAAACACATCCTAACAAAGAAAGCCGAAAACAAACCTACAAAGAGTTTAAGAAAATATGTAAGAACTTACAACTGTGCTGGTGTAACATCAGTGAGAACCAATCTGGCAGTTTTAATCTTCTCTTTGATGTAAGATGATGCTTGTTTTTTGATTTCAAAGAATGAATGGCTGCTCATATTGCTGCTGCTATGGCTAGTATTATTGCTATCATAGCCTAAGATTGACATGTTTATCTAACAAGATTAATTAAAAGATAGGAGAAATTAAAAAAGAAAATTATACTTGTATAAGATGATTGTTACAAGTATGAATCTAATAAGACATAAAAATGAGTACAATTAACAAAATAACAAAATTAATGAGGGTTGATTAGTGATAAGGATTTATTAGTTTGCAACTAATCCACTAAGGACTTATTCAACCTCTACATAGTGTACTGTGTTATGTTTTTGGTAAAATAAATTAAAGGAATTTATTTTGCATAAGAAGTGACGATTTCAAAAGAGACCTTTTTATTTAGTAATTTTCATTTGGAAATTAATTTTGAGTCCAAAAAGAAGAATTTATTTCAGTGAAGAAAATTCAATGGTTTGCAATATTATAGTCTAATTTGATGGGTACACTGCTAATAAAGTTGGAGTTGAATTCGGAGTTGTTCTTGAGTTTTGACTTTTTTGAAGCTTCAAAGGTGGGAGTTTGATAATTTAGCTTCTAATTGACGGCGTAACAATTTAGGTGTATGGCCTGCTAGGCACCTTGGAATTGATATGAACACTTATACTATAAAATAATGTACATGTATTTATGGATTTAAGGAAGACCCCGACTAGACCTCAGCCCTCACAATTGCTATTTTCCAGTATTTAAGGGCCAAGCACTTGAGAGTAAAGGGGAGGGTAGGGTAGGAGAATCCCTATCCCAAAATACCCTCACTTGGTAGGATTTGAACCCCAAACCTCTAGAATTTGAGGTAATAACCTTTTTTTTTTTTTTTTTTTTTTGAACGGTGAGGTAATAACCTTATCAAGTGAACCTTGTTGGTATGGATCGTATAAAATTATTCATGCGCAATATGACAATTTATAATATCAATTCATAAAATTTTTATTTGTGTATAAGATTATAAATGTCTTGTTGAAGATTATTAATCTACAACAATTTCTTATATAGGTCAAATAGATGACATAGTTATATTGTTAATCTTACAAATACACAGTTAAAATCGTAAAATTATACTAGTATTGATTAGGGGATTTTTATCCACCAATCACCGTCTGACAAGTGGACCAACCAGGTTCCGCCACGTGTCCTTCACGAAGGCCAATAGGAGCCTGCCACGTGTCAATCACAGATACGTCCTCTACGGACCAATCGAGGCACGCCACGTGTCCACCCATGCCAAATGGGAAAACCGGCCAACAAGGCCCAATCCTGTCTAGAGGCCCGGTCAGCCCTAGGTTTACCCTAAACCTAGAGAGTGGCACGCTTCTCAAGACTATAAATACTTAATTAATCCTCATTAATTAAGAAGTCAAGAAAACATCAGGCAATCAAGCAATTGAGAGGCAATTGATCAAGCAATTAATCTCACCTGAAGAACAGAGAAGAACAGAAACATTACGGAACACTAATAACCGGCTAATCTCGCTAACAAAGCAGATTACCAACATTAAACACTCTCACCTAGAGAGGTCTTCTTACTTTAATTTCCGTATTAATTACTCCTTAATCAGGTACTAACTTGACCGTTGGAGGCGGAGCTCTCAGGAGTCTCCGTTATTTTGCAGGTACAGGCGTCCGGTTCCAGTCTCGGAATTGTAACTCTCCCGCAGGACATCAGAAAACCCCGAAACATCTGGCGCCGTCTGTGGGCAGAGTACTTCAGAGATGGCATCCAAGTCTGTACCGACTCCTGAAGAGAGGCGTCCCCTAAACGACCCTCAAGTTCAGTCGGACCATGACACCGAAAGTGAATTTGAAGTTGAAACTCATACAGCTCCAGACGGGACCCTAAGGGCCCGACGTACCCGTCATACCGAAAGGAGGGAACGGGAGCATCTTCAAACAGGAAGCGAGCCAGCAGGCGCACCGCCTGCTCGGCAACAGCCGACTGACGGGTCTGCTCCCATCACAAGGAATGAACTCATGACCTTCATGAGGGACTTCAAGGGAGAGATTCAAGAGTTGATCAACAAAAAGCCGCCTGCTTCAGTCAAAGAACAGTCGGCCAAAAAACCTTCCACTTCACTGAAGAGGAAGCCAGTTCAAGGGCGAGAGGCGACTCCTCATCCTAAATCCAAGAAGCGGGAGCCACCTGCTCTTGATTTCACAAAATTTCGTTATCCTACGGGAAATAGGAAACCGGTTCGTCATATTCAGGCGGACGGGTCAAAGCAAACGTTCACAGATGCTCGGCTACTGCTAGAGCAGAAGAAGAGTGACCGATTGTCAGAGTCGGCTTCTACTTCAAATTTTCAAGACAGTTTGCGAAATGCCTCGATGAGGCATACTCAGTCGTACCATGAGAGTCAGTCAGGCGGCACCTCCCGTCAGTCCGGCTTTCATAGTGCCCAGGCGGTACCAAACTTACCATTTGTGCCGCAACAACAGTATTTTATGCAGCCACCTCCATTTGGTGGACCTGCAGCAAAAAACGTCCAACCTATGGACTGGCAGCTACGGTTGCTTAGACTTGGTGAACAGCCGTCGGCCTTCTCCAAGGAAATTACTGAAGCCGCTCAGCCGGCCAAAGTAAAAAATGTACTAGTAGGCGCCTATGACGGCACTACTAACCCAGAAGACCATCTGATGGCATTCACCAACCTGATGTACCTTCAAGGGTTGGATGATCCCACTTGGTGCAAGTGTTTCCCAGCGACTCTCAAGGGAATCGCACAGCAATGGTTCGGCAACCTGCCGACTGGTTGTGTAAACAGCTTCAGGACGCTTGCTTACTTATTTGCCTCCAACTTCGCCATGAACATCCCTGCGAAGAAAACGACCCTTGATTTGGGAACAATTCAGCAGGGCGAGAAGGAGGGGCTTCGTTCTTACATCAGGCGGTTCAACCTGATGAGAATACAGATTCAAGGGTTACCGGATGAGGTAGCTTATACTGACTTTTTCAGAGGTCTCAAAGACGGGTCTACCTTCAAATTTGATTTGGTTCGAAAAAGGGTGGCGACTCTTCAAGAGGCCTTGATTGAAGCAGAAGCCTATATACAGGCGACTGATCTGTGTACGATAAAACAGTCGGACGGGAAAAGGTTCGACAAAAGAGAAGGACGACAGAAACAGTCGTCAAACAAAGATGAGAAAAGAAAAGAGGTCTGGGCGGCTGATTCCTCTAAACAGCCGGCCCAGAAAAAGAAAAAAGAATTCAAACCATACTCCCCAAAGTATGTGTTTAACAAGGATAACCAGTTTATCCTAAAAGAAATAAAGGGACGGTTCTCAATTGAGAAGCCGGTCCCCATGAAGGGTTCTGCAAACAACTGGAACCAAGACAAAATCTGTGCTTATCATGATGACGTTGGTCATTACACCAATGACTGCATCAGTCTCATGCGGTACCTAGACCGCTTGGCTGAGCAAGGTGATCTTGACACTTATGTCAAGAAATCTACGGGGAACACTTCCTCAAAAAAGCAGTCGGCCAAAAAGAATCAACAGGCCGACAGCTCCGATACAGATGATGCAGTCGTCTACACCATTGCAGGCGGCTTCTCAGGAGGCGGCCCCACTATTAGGGGCAACAAAGATAATATAAGGCGGTTAGATGTAAATTCCGTTCACCAAGAACGGCCGTCCAAATATACATTTCCTGAGATTGTCATCACTGAAGAGGATCTAGGAGGGGTAAGGGGGCCGCATGACGACCCTCTCGTTATTGAATGTAAAGTGGCCAACCAGAGAGTTGGCCGAATCCTCATAGATACCGGGAGCTCCTCAGATCTCATCAGCAACAAATGTCTGTCAAAACTGAAATATCAGACGGACTGCATACATCCGGCCTCCCACCCTTTAATAGGGTTTGGAGGAGGAGTCGTCCACCCACTGGGACGAGTAGATTTACCCATTCGCCTGGGCGAAAAAGGGGAAGGACGACACATGGTAGTCCGGTTCCTAGTAGTAGAGGAACTCTCGGCCTACAACATGATTCTGGGTCGACCAACCCTGAATAATTCCAAGGCTGTTATAATCCCGTCTCTTATGCTGCTTAAGTTTGAGAGGGATAATGGAACAGTCGGCTCCCTAAGGGGAGATCAGAGGATGGCCCGAGAGTGCTATCTCTCGGATGTCAAGCCCACTGTTATGGCCACTGGGTCAGGTGGAGAAAAAACAGACCTTGACAATGTCAAGGAGAGTGCGCCTGTTCAAGAAACAGGCGACAAAAAGAGAAAGGCGTCCCAGACAGAGTCCGCAAGAAAAGCAAGAAAATAGCAATCATTGGCAGAGGAGCGGCCGGATGAGTTCCGCCCTCAGCCGGCTGGTGAGCATGCGGACCTGATCTTAGATGACTCACGTCCTGACCGAACAGTCAAAGTTGGGACGACTGCTCTGAGAAACCTTGGTGACGACTTTCACAACCTATTGAAAGAATACAAGGACATCTTTGCATTTGAAGTCCATGAAATGCCAGGCATTAGTCCTGATCTGGCAGTACATAAACTCGCTGTGGATCCGAAAAAGAAGCCGGTATGGCAAAAGAAGCGGAACCATGGCGAAGAAAGAAGTCAGGCGGCAGCCGCCGAAGTTAAAAAATTACTTGATGCAGGGTTCATTCGGCAATGTTACTTCCCAGACTGGGTTGCAAATGTGGTGCTTGTTAAAAAGCCGAATGGCACCTGGCGAATGTGTGTAGACTACACAGACTTAAACAAGGCGTGCCCCAAAGACAGTTACCCTCTGCCTAAAATTGATAACCTGGTCGACTCAACAGCGGGTCATGCCTTGATGAGTTTTATGGACGCCTATTCTGGTTTCCATCAAATTCCCTTATGGAAGAAAGATCAGGAGAAGACGGCCTTCGTCACTGATCAGGGGTTATACTGTTACACGGTCATGCCGTTTGGTCTTAAGAATGCCCCGGCTACCTTCCAACGAATGATAAACACAGTGTTCTTTGATCAGATTGGGAGAAACGTCGAGGCATATATTGATGATATGATTGTCAAGACTAAACTTCAGAAAGATCATCTGACGGACCTCCGAGAAACTTTCGCCACACTCAGGCGGCACCATGTCATGCTCAATCCCAAGAAATGTGTATTTGGAGTTGAGTCTGGGAAATTTCTCGGATTCCTTATCAATCAGAGAGGAATAGAGGCGAACCCTGAGAAGGTGCAGGCGGTCATTGACATGCAGTCGCCTCGTACCATCCGAGAGGTTCAGAAGTTAACAGGTTGTCTGGCGGCCTTGAGGAGATTCCTAAGCCGATCAGGCGACAAATGCCTATACTTTTTCCAGGCAATTAAGAAAAAGGCAAGGTTTGAATGGGGGCCGGATGCTGAGGCCGCCTTCCAGAAATTAAAAAAGT